ATGGCAAATATGGTAAATACATCTACGAAAAGATGTTTCACGTTATTACCCATTTGGGAAATGCAAATTAAAACCACCACGAGGTACCACTACATACCTACTCGATTAGCTAAAATTAAAAAGATCATATCAAGAGTTGGCAAGGACATGGAGGAACTGAACTCTCATACACGGCTTGAGAATGTAAAATGGTGCAACCAATTTGGGAAACACGTTGGCAGTTGCTTTAAAAGTGAAACATAGGCCGGGCGCGGTGGCTCAAGCCTGTAATCCCAGCACTTTGGGAGGCTGAGACGGGCGGATCACGAGGTCAGGAGATCGAGACCATCCTGGCTAACACTGTGAAACCCCGTCTCTACTAAAAATACAAAAAAAATAGCCAGGCGAGGTGGCAGGCGCCTGTAGTCCCAGCTACTTGGGAGGCTGAGGCAGGAGAATGGCGTGAACCCGGGAGGCAGAGCTTGCAGTGAGCCGAGATCGTGCCACTGCACTCCAGCCTGGGCGACTGAGCAAGACTCCGTCTCAAAAAAAAAAAGAAGAAGAAAAAAAAAAAGTGAAACATATCCCTACCATACGAACCAGCTCTTCCACTTCTAAGTATTTTCCCAAGAGAAAAGGCCGGACATATGCTCACTGTCATGCACACACAAAGGCTTGTACACAGACGTGCAATGCAGCTTCACTTATCATATCAAGGAACTGGAACAACTCGTGTCCCTCTACAGCTAAGTGTGTAAACAAATTGTACATCCACACCATAGAACACAGTTGATCCCTCAACAAGGTGGGGGTTAGGGGTGCTGATCCCCTGCACAGCTGAAAATCCATGTATCAGTTTTATTTATTTATTTATTTTTATTGTTATACTTTAAGTTCTAGGGCACATGTGCATAACGTGCAGGTTTGTACATATGTATACTTGTGCCATGTTGGTGTGCTGCACCCATCAACTCCTCATTTACATCAGGTATAACTCCCAGTGCAATCCCTCCCCGCTCCCCCCTCCCCATAATAGGCCCAAGTGTGTGATGTTCCCCTTCCCCATGTATCAGTTTTAACTGCACAAAAACTTAACCACTAATACCTTCCTGTTGATGGGAAACCTACTGGTAACATAAGCGGTTGGTTAACACATATTTTGTACGTTATATGTACTATACGCTGTATTTTTACAATAAAGTAAGCTAGAGGAAAGAAAAGGTTATTAAGAGAATCACAAGGAAGAGAAAATACATTTATAGTGCTGTATTTATGGATACCCTAAGTTCACGTCGTCTGTTAACGAGAAGAATCACCTGTCTGAAATGGCGGCGACCGCAGCTGCAGCCCTCAGTCTACGGCACATAGCAAGCAATTCAGCTTTTTCTTGTAGTGTCACGAATTTTCTCTGCTTTTTGGGAGCACCTCCAGCATCACCCGTGGCACTGTGTATGGGTCCTAGGGTGTCATGCAGGCTTTATAGGATCGCCTTAAACATGATTAAAACTGTGTGAGAACTCTGAGAGGTCACTGTTTTTTTTCTGTTGTTGGTTTTTTTTTTTTTTTTGAGATGGAGTCTTGCTCTGTCGCCCAGGCTAGAGTGCAGTGGCACGATCTAAGCTCACTGCAACCTCTGCCTACCGGGTTCAAGCGATTCTCCTGCCTCAGCCTCTTGAGTGGCTGGGATTACAGGCACCTGTCACTGTGCCTGGCTAATTTTTGTATTTTTAGTAGAGACTGGGTTTCACCATCTTGGCCAGGCTGTGAACTCCTGACCTCGTGATCCTCCCGCCTCGGCCTCCCAAAGTCCTGGGATTCCGGGCGTGAGCCACCGCGCCCGGCCGAGAGATCACTTTTTACTGTGATTTACTGTGATTTGTGATTTACTGGAGGGAGGAGCCGTGCATGTGGAGATGATCAGCCTCACCCGCGTTTTCGGCACTCGCAGCACCTGAGCTCACGGCTGTGCCGGCAGGAGGGTTTGTAAAATATCGCAGCCGTGCAGTACGCACTGCAGTGAGTTTTGTGCAGCTGTGATTAATTTCTACATCCCTACATTTGTTCAATTTCTCTAAATTGTGAAAGACCCCACATATGGTCTATAAGTGTTTGTGTGCACGTAAGTTTTGATAAATTTTAACTTTTCATAATAGATTTGTGTATAATTTTTGGTATTACATGATTTTAAAACAGTAGCATCTCTATATATTTTATGTATTCATGACGCATCTTTTTGTTGCTGTTTTCAGTATTCCTAGGCCATGCTGTTTGTCTGAAAGCTTTTTCAAATTGTTACACCTCTCCAGAAACTTCTCCAATACACTTGCTGAGAAAAACCCACGTGTACGTGGCCTGTGTGGTTCCAACACGCTGTTCGAGGGCCCCCACTGCTGCTGTGAGGAAACCACGTGTCTGGACCGCACAGTAATCATGCTGAGTGAAGGCGGCCAGACCAGTGAAGCACACAGCACACGACTGCATTTACCTGAAACTCCAGCAAACGTAAAACTGCTGAGCAGGCAGGAAGGGGGTGGTGGTTGTGTGGTGTGGGGAGGGCTCCGGGGTGGACAGGAGGACACGTGGGGTGTTGGATAAATATGTTCACCGCGTTGACTGTGGTGGCTCATCGGGGTACAGATGTATGTCAAAACCGATCAAACTGCACATTTGAAATAGGGGCCATTTGCTGTAGCCAGTTATACATCAACAAAGCTACACATCAGCAAGACAACGAACAAATCACTGCAAATCCCATAAAACCTCTAGCTCTAAGTACCGCTTTGCAGGAGCTCCAGGGACAGAGGAACTTGTTGAATGAGACCAGGGAGACGCAACCCGCAGAGAAGCCTGACTGCTGAAAGCACCGACGGCAAATCACTCAGCATCGAACACAACATAGTCAAGGAAAAGGATGACGGAGGAATCTGGATATTTAAAGACATTTATCAACAACTGCCATGCACGGACCTTCCTTGGATCTCAAGTCAAACCAGCGAACTGTAAAGAAAAAGGAAGAAGAAGATGAGAAAGGGGACAAGGAGGAGAAAACAGAACTTTGTGAAACAGAGAGTCCCGGGATGGGACACTGCGGCATCCGTCAAGTCAACACAGGGTGTAGGACTCCATTTACACAAAAATCCGGAAAACGTAACTGGTCTATGGTCACAGAACGCAGAGGGGCAGGCGGGGTGGGGGACGGGAGCCCCTCGAGGTGCTGGTGTGTGACCTGCACACAGAGACTGCTGAGAGGAACAAGGGGTGGGTTTGCAGTAACATCGTTTTTTCTTTGTAATTTTTTATATCGCTTGACTTTATAAAACAGCAAAGCATAACTTTGACAAATGAAATAAAGTTTTTCGTTTTCTTTTTTTGAGACAGGGTCTGTTGCCCAGGCTGGAGGGTGGAGGCACAATCACGGCTCATGGCGGCCTTGACCTCCTGGGCTCAGGCGATCCTCCCACCTCAGCCTCCCATGTAACTGGGGCTAAAGGTGTGAACCACTGCACCCAGATAATTTTTCGTAGAGACAGGGTCTCCCTATATTGCCCAGACTGGTCTTAAATCCCCGGGCTCTAGTGATCCTCCTGCCTCAGCCTCTCCAAGTGCTGAGATTATAGGCGTGAGCCACTGCGCCCAGCCTTTCGCTTTTTTTAATTTCCCACACTACACTGACACAATGGTCTATCTTAAAATCGTTTTAAGTGAATACATATGTAACTGATAAAGGAACATTTGTTTCCTTTAATGAAAAAACATGAAAATAAAAAAAAATCTGGCATCAAACCTAACACTCAGGACAAAGCCTGACCCCCACGGGGCAGCTCACTGCCGCGGCCTCCGGGGAACCGGCTGTCGGGGAACAGCGCTCTGACCGCGGTCGGAGCTGGGCCGAAACTCAACACGTGTCCAGACTCCTGCAGTTCAGAACCAGCCTGGCAACGCCGAACAGCATTCCGGTTTGCACGAGGTGCACGTTACTTAAAAAAGCAGCCACAGCTGGGTGCAGTGGCTCAAGCCTGTAATCCCAGCACTTTGGGAGGCCAAGACGGGCAGATCACGAGGTCAGGAGATCGAGACCATCCTGGCTAACACGGTGAAACCCCGTCTCTACTAAAAAACACAAAAAACTAGCCGGGCAAGGTGGCGGCGCCTGTAGTCCCAGCTACTCGGGAGGCTGAGGCAGGAGAATGGCGTGAACCCAGGAGGAGGAGCTTGCAGTGAGCTGAGATCCGGCCGCTGCACTCCAGCCTGGGCGGCACAGTGAGACTCCGTCTCAAAAAAAAAAAACAAAAAAAACAAAAAAAAAGCAGCCACAGTCTGCCTGAGGTCCTGTTTTAAGTATTTTCACAAGTTCACTGAAAAGCACATCAACTCATTCACAGTGTGATGCCTGGTAACCAGGACACCCGCCCTCGGCTGCCTGTATAGGGAAGGGTTGTCATGACGTGACCACAAGACGGTCTCTGCCTCCCCCAGCGGCACCAACGGCCCCACAGAGGATGGCAGGGACAAGCCACCCGTGTGGCAACGGCCATGTCCCCTCTCTCAGATGGCAGCCGCTCATGCCCGAGGGGGTGCCGCAGGCGTCCCCAAGTCCAGTCTCACACCAGCACAGTCCACTGCCAAGGACACGCTGTCGTCCACGTCGCATGCAGCAGCCTGGCTCTCGGAATGTGCTGGGGGCACACGGGACACGGAGACTCTGAAACACTGGCTGTGTGATTTCTGAGCTCGCCCTCTCACCCTCTGCAGTCCACGGGTAAGTGGACCTGTGCCGTCGGGTTTCCCAGCTCAGAACTCGAACCAGTCTGAACTACCGGCCTGAGACCAGCCTAGCGTGTGTGCCTGCTTGGGCCACCCTCACCTCCCACTCCGTGTGATCGACGGCATGTGAGTGAAGGTGAGGACGGAAGGACCACGGCCCATGACAACACACACACAAGAGACCACAGCATAATGCAGGAGACGGCGCCCAAAGGCAACCTGCGCACCTGCCCCAGACAAGGCGCCAGGCGAGGTACCTGCGTCAGGAGCTGCTCAGGCGTCAGCTGGTTGATCCAACGTGTGTATCGTTCGGTGGAGTTAGGGGGATCTCTCCTCACTTGGCAACCGACGATCTGTGAAAAACGACGACAAACAGAGCTCAAAACACGTCAG